GCAGGCTTACCTGCACCTGAGTTATGCTCAAACTGATATCTAAGCCCATGAGACCACTCTCACGGTCAAATATATCTGGTGTTTCAGCTTCAGATGCTAAAAAATAACGGCCATCATTCAGTAATCCACCATCGGTTCAAGTCTGTGTCGGCGTACTGAACACAGGAGCATACGAGCATGTGCACAGTGCACGTGATCCACTCAGTTTGCAAATGGAAACTATGTATCCAGCTTCAAATGCAACTCACCATTTCCATTGTACTGGGGTCTGTTTTACATTCCCTGGAATCACTTTTTAAGAGGACCTGAGGAAACAAACAAGACTTACTGACTGGTGAAAACAAAAGTACTGAAGTCTTAAATAATAAAAGGCCATCTCTCTCCATTCCCAGTGTTGGATATCTTGATGTGTGAAATGAAATTATGAACAACCTGATCTGTCTGATAGGGCCCTATCTTTTTAACAACAAAGTCTGAAATAAAATCTACAATATCTACAATGTCTTCACTCATTTCCTTTCCCTTGATGTCTTATGATGTACTTGTATGATGCTGTCAGTGCAGCTGGAAAGAATTTTAAGGAGATGCAGATGACTGGATAGATACTTTAGACTAATGCATTCATTTGAGTTAAAATCCGTATAAATGTGTGCTGTCTGTGTGTGTGTGTGTGCGTGCATGCATGTGAGTGTGTGTGTATGTTGGTTATATTTCCCAGAGGTTCTGTAGACATCTATTTAGCAGCTCCTCCACCATGTAACCAGCAGCATGCTTGTTTATATATCCCTGAGGAACAACTTTAATCAAACTAAAAGCTGCATTTGACTAGTCTTGCATTATTATTCTGAATAGATGTCAAAGGTTATGTTTTTGTACCTGTGTTGTGCTTGCAGGTTCCCCCAAATTTGAAATGGAGCTTTTTGCATCTTAATGACAAATTCTGTCCCTCAGATAGGATATTAATTTGACCATGATGCTGTTCTGGTCCTTTTCACCTAATAAATAAAAATGATTACAAACACTTTCCCAACAACAACGCAGTCCTCTTGGCATCTTACCAGTGAACATGTGGCACAATCCCATGGCTGGGATGAGATATCTCCCAACATTCGAAGGGAGCGAAAACCAGCTGAAAAAGAGGAGTTTAGGGAAAAAAACACATCTGAATTTTCAAAATGCTAAACAAAGTTGCTACATTTCATGGAGTTCAAGTCAAAAAACAAAGGAAGAAATGTAAAGCGGCCAAATGTTGTGACATACGACAATCAGCATTGGACATCACCGAGTGGTTTCCTCAAACACGGTTGATCTCAGTCTGCGTCTTTCCGACCGCAGATGGAGCCGGGCGCTGGCGTTTGGGGGCCGGAGGGAGTGTGTAGATTGGGATCATGGGGGTGCATCAGGGAGAGGCTCTTCACCGCGTTTCCTATTCAACCTAAGTCCTCTAAGACCTCCTCTTCTCTTCTGAGAGCAGCAAACTGAGATCTGATCTAATGCCGAGTGCCACATGTAAGTGTGTGCGAGTGAGACACAACACTTTGATGAGAGCCTGCAGGGGACGGGGATGTGTGTGCGGATAATGAACAAGTTCAGAGTGTGTGTCCTTGTGTGTATTTGTGTGTAGCATATTAAGAGTAATGAATTAGTCCGGGGTTTATATATTTTCAGTGCCCCCCGTGTCTGTGCACTCTCCCTCATCTCTGAAGGGTTGTTTGGGGTATTCTGTGAAGGTTGTGCTTAAGGGGGAGGCGGGTTCTCGGGGTCTTGCATTCAGATGTAATTAGCCCAGACAATGGCCTGGTTAAATCTGGAATCCTCCAAGCTCTCTCTTCCTTTGATTGTGAGGGCCAGCTGTGGAGGAATGGCCATTATCTCCCTGTGTCCAGCAGCATAAAGAAGCCCCCTCTCCCTCCCTTCCACCGTTACCCCTGTGTCAGGGTTCCCACAGGGGGAGGGAAATGAGTGGGTCACACACTGGTCTGGAGAAATTGAAAGCAACCAGAGCACCGGTTCACTCCCATGGATAGCCTCACCTCGCACTTGAACCGTTCTGTCTGAAAGCAATAGGTAGGAGCAGATGGCACTGTTTACACAAGAGCGCCACACAGAAACAGCTTTTCACATCTGGATTGGAAAAGTGCAGGGTTCAGGCTCCACATCCACTTTAGATGATATTTCTCCAAATCTACTCGTCAAAAAACAGGAGTGCAGGTGGCTTTGTTTGGTGGGTGTTTTTGTTCCGTCTGTGAGCTTTTTAATCATGAATATCACATACAGATCTCTGCCCGCACATAGGGACACTTAGACCCATTAGACGTGTGAATAAATTGAATCTTTACAGCATTGAGGCCTTATAATTACTGTTGATTTAACGCTCAGAATCTCCATCATTAACCCTCACTGTGAAAACTGATGGAGAAAAGGGAGACGGAGTGAAAGTGTTACATGTGTTGACAGCATCCCCGGGACTTTAACTGAATTAACAGCGACCTCTTCGACTTGTAAGAACAGGACTGGCATCGTTTATGCGTTATTAAGTCCTGTGATTGGGCAGCCAGTAGTTTGCATATTAGTCTGTTAGGGTAATATGTTTTGCTTCTCTCAGCACACGGCTTTCCAAAGCCCCTGGCGACACATTCGGTAATTCTCCGAATTACGCTCTAATCATAAGCCAGTGTTCTCTCTATTCCAGTAATTTATTGTGCATCAGTTTATGTCTGTGCATCCTCATCTTTATCAAAGGATTTATTAAATAGCGTAGAAACTCTTTTGCACAGTTTCTATAAACTGCCATCCATCATCAGCTGTGTAAATGCTGTTGTCATTGTGTGCGATGAATGTACAATTAATGCCTACACATGTCGTCATGTCGCCCTGTTGCGCTGCCTCTGTGTCTGAAGGTGAAACGTGAGTGCGTTTTGTTTAGTTTCTTTAACCTCCTAACAGCCGGGACATTTTACAGCCAGTGCAACACTTTCAGCCAGATCAAATCTCCCCAAATACCTGCCATTGCCAAAAGTAGGCCCAAGGACACCCCAAGGGGTTTTTGAAGCTTTCATGGAGACTCAGCAGAATGAAGAATACTTTAATTTCATCATTGCTGCATTAATTTATAGTTATCAGCAGCAGATAATGCAACATAAGGGATTTAATTACTTTTTTCCTAAGTTCTCTTTTATTCTTTAACAAATAGCCCCATTGCCTTTGTGAATATGTGTCGAAAAGATGAAAAAATGTGTCACTGCATATAAAACTCATAGTGTCATCGAAATTTACAGGAATTGGAGAAAACATGATGATGCACTGACCGGTGATATTTTAAAATGCACAAGTTGTGCTCTTGACGTTTACCTAACGCATGACTCACTGTGATTTAATGAGGGATGTATCATGACATCCAGTTGCTTGTAATGAACACTTTATTAAGTGATGATTGCTTAATGTGATGAACTCGTATCGGTTTAGTTATTAAAATTCCAAGATAAATTTGTAAATGTACAGGTAATCTAATCATTCTGAATTTCTATTTTTTAAGCTTGAATATTTATAAGCTTCACTAAAAGCAGTTTCTCTCATACAAATGTAATAATTATTGACTATGTAGTAGATACAAAAACAAATTCATAACTAGAATTTTCATGAGACTAAAATCAAATCTATTTGATTCTGTATCAGTTCACTGTAAAAAAAAAAAACACCTTTGTTTTTCCAATTACATTTTACCGTCAGTGGCCTGAACATTATGAAGCAAGAATTTGGGATTAATTCCTGATTAATGTAGTTGTTAAATTCTAAGTTATGAATGAGTCAAGCATCTTTTATGATAATTCAATATATTCATCAGCATTGAGATCACCACTGAAATTGTCCTAAAGAGTAGATGTGGACCTGATTCCAAATGTTTTGGGTAAACAGAGAACAAGTTGAGGTAGAATCCCCAGAAATCAAATAATTGTAGAGAATGAGAGGTGGAATGAATTGGTGAAGAAAAAAGGCCACATGGTGGAACTGGGATGCTCAGGCTTTGGGGAGAGAAAGCCCTGCGCACCACTGAGGGTGCGTCCGTCTCAAAGTTTGCCCAACAAGCAGGTGGAAGGGGATAGAGTGGGCGCAAAGCAGACTAAGGGATCCATTCTTGCTGCCTCTACTCTCTTTGGCCCCGAGCTGCCCTCTTTGCTCGCCCCCCATTATTTGTCCCGACGGCCGAGCGCGCGGCCCCAATGAGCCCTTTGGAACGGAACGGGGGAAAAAAGGAGCGAATTGCAGCTGTGACGTGGGCGTTGTTGTTCCATTCACTGCGCTCGCCATGGCAACGGGGCAGAAGCTGGAAGCACGCGCCCCCTTTCCTCTGTGTGTGTGTGTGTTTCTGGACAGCGTCCTGAGGGCAAAGAGGCAGCTGGAAGTTTCTCGCCAGGATCACTTCTCAATTTTTTTTAAGGCACGACGCAAATAAATAAAAAACTAACCTCTTATTTGTGATGAGGCAAGATTCTAAGTCGACTTTGCTCAAGTTTCGGTATCGTAATGATTCCGGTGCAACCTACAACTTTTACGCACCGTTTTTCACACGACTAACAAAAGTGACCCAGTGACCCACATAATCAGTAATGAACAACTTTAAGCAACATTTGTTTAGTTTAGTTTTTTCCCTTCCATCGTGTTGTGCCTTTTCTGTGTTCGCACTCATCCACCAGATTGTGCGCCTCCACTTTGTTCTCCAGCGTGCTGCAGGACTGCTCGTATTGTTGGGCAGAGTGATTGGGGTTTTCTGTACAATCTCCCGTGACCAATGAGCGGGGTGCTGTCAGGGGTAACCACATCTGTCAACCGTTCTTGGCCAATAAAGAGCGGAGCGAGGCGGACCACAGGTGCGCGCCTCTGCGTCCCCTTGGCACAGAGCCCGGGAGATGCTGGAGAGAGACGCGTAGCTGCCCCGTGGCGCAAAAAAAAGAGTTACTGTCAAAGGCAGCCTCCTTTTTTTAAAAACTCCAGCTATCACTCTGGCTCCGATACTTATGGCGACCGCCACGTCCAACCACTACAGCGTGCTCACGTCCCCCGGCAGCGCGCCGCCGCCTCACTCGGAGTCCGGGAGCATGCAGCAGGCGGCCGCGTACAGGGACGCGCACACCCTGCTCCAGAACGACTACGGCACGCTGCCGGGCGGCGGGCACCCGCTCAGCCACGCGCACCAGTGGATCACGGCGCTGTCCCACGGTGACGGCGGGGCGCCGTGGCCGTCCAGTCCCCTCGGAGAGCAGGACGTGAAGCCCATACTGCATGACAGTGACCGAGAAGAGCTGCAGAACTCCAGTAGTCTGCAGCAGCAGCAGCAGCAGCAACAGCGACACCCTCACCTCGCGCACCAGCAGGCGCATCACGACGCCAGAGCATGGCGAACCAGCACAGCCACGACGCACATCTCCGGCATGGCGACGTCTGAGAGCCAGAGCCTGGTGTACTCCCAGTCCGGCTTCGGTCTGATGTCCGGGGGAGAGCAGGGAGGAGGGATGCACCACCACCCCCCCCTGCGGGACGAGGACCACCACAGCCACAGTCCGCACCTCAGCGAGCACGGGGCCGGCCCCGGGGCCCACCAGCACCACCAGCAGCACCAGCAGCACGGGGCCCACCACGACCAGTCGGACGAGGACACGCCGACCTCTGACGAGTTGGAGCAGTTTGCCAAGCAGTTCAAACAGCGGCGAATCAAGCTGGGCTTCACCCAGGCGGACGTGGGGCTGGCTCTCGGGACGCTCTACGGGAACGTTTTTTCTCAGACCACCATTTGCAGGTTCGAGGCGCTCCAGCTCAGCTTTAAAAACATGTGCAAACTCAAGCCGCTGCTGAACAAGTGGCTGGAGGAGGCGGACTCCACCTCGGGGAGCCCCACGAGCTTGGACAAAATCGCGGCGCAGGGAAGGAAACGGAAAAAGAGGACCTCCATCGAGGTGGGCGTCAAAGGCGCTCTGGAGAGCCATTTTCTGAAATGTCCAAAGCCGGGAGCGGCGGAGATCAACTCCCTGGCGGACAGCCTGCAGCTGGAGAAGGAGGTGGTGAGGGTCTGGTTCTGCAACCGGCGGCAGAAGGAGAAGAGGATGACACCCGCTGGGGGACAGATAGGAGGAGAAGACATGTACGGGGATACCCCACCTCACCACGGAGGACAGACTCCTGTGCAGTGACCCCTGTCCGTTGTTGTGAGAAAAAAACACGGACCCCTCACGGAGGCATGAACGCTTCCTTATTTGTTTAATTCTCCGTGCTGCACCGCTCTGAACTGGACCTCGGCCAGTAAAGATGCTGGACGGACCGCGGGGACGCAGAGTGGCACCCGAGCGCTTACAAATTATACTCATAGCCGTATGTGTGGAGAGGTTTCATGCCAAGCATATTGAGCTAGTGTGTGCTGACCGACGAAAAAAAGACGAGAAAAAAAAAACTAGCGACGTGGATGCGCTTTTTTTTTAAAATACTACATCTTCGACCTGGGCGCCGGTGTGTCATAAATAAGAAAGCAGACGGAGGTGTGGACAGTCTGTAGGGGTTAAAGGAACATTTAAAAAACCACAAGAAAAAAAAGCTCCGGGCTTGATGATTTAGTCGCAGTCGGTGGGGGTAAATAAACGCCATCTTTCCATCATAACAAAAGCGACAGGGGTTCTTCGCAGCTTGTGGCCAGACGGGGCTCTGCTGCAGCCCACAATCTTTAAACGGAACCCAATACCAGCCAACATCTTCATTTATTTATTTATTATTGTTATCATTATTATTATTAATATTATTATTCAATTATGGTTTGGTCATTGGATGCATTTCCAATAAACGTTTACCTATCCGCATGGATGGATTTAGAGCTAATTCCTCACGGTCTTAATTTAAAAAATTACAACTTAACATTCTAAATTTAGAATATTTCTGCCATAATATTAACAAATAATAATAATAACAATAATAACGTTGTAACAGAGTGTAACGCTTTCCTCTCTGTGCAGACCTCTCAGTGCGCCTGTTTACAGTGTTCCTGCTGTTTGTTTTATTTCCCTACTTTTCCAAGATGCTGTGACGAGAAAGAGACCGAGGCTGTCCGACTGGAACTCCCAAAAAAAAAAAGAAAAGAACAGAAAAGAACAGTCCAGCCTCCTCTCCTTTTTAAACCCTGACAAAAACACTGACCATTTCCTGGAACCAGCTTTGGCCACAGTGGCTGCTCTAACTGTCTCATTCACGCAGAAGATGATCTGTGGGATGGATCTGCCTCCTTTATTATTATTATTTTTTGTAATGTTTCGTTTGAATGTTAATTCGTACGTTCGCTTGTTCTGTTAGTTTTGTTTTGATTTTCCACTGTCAGTCTGTGCCAAAGCACAAACGCGGACACGTGTTTTTGTGCCACCTAAATCCTGTGAATAATAACCTGATGTGTGTGGTTTTATGTGAGGAAAATTCAAGGGACAGCCGGAGGATAATTCTCTGGTCAATTTTGAAAGTCAGAAACTCAAATACAGTTGAAGAATTTGGTATTAAAAAGTAATATTTTAATATTATAGTTAGTCAATAATAACCCGAGTAATATGCGAGTACTTCCTGAATGTAAACAACGATAAAGCAGATCTTCAGTCTCCCTTTCATCAATCATCAATGAATAACCACAGCAATATTTGATGTAATGCTCTGCAGTGAACGCAAAGGAGCCATTTTTTCTTTATTCATAAGCACAGGTGTTATATAACTATTGTTCTATCGTTTTGAAAAACAAAAGGCCAATTATTTGTGTCATTCTAATTCTGACTACACTACAGGTAATCCTTCAGCTGAATTTGAGTCTCTGAGGTTTAAAAACGAAAAAAAAAAAAGAATCAATAAAACCAAAATAAAATAGCATCGACCTGAAATCTGTGAACAAATGATGTGGGGACTAAAATCAACTATTGCACAATTTCTATATGCTTTTTTTGTCATTAAATCCTATTGGTTTTCTACAAAACTGTATTCTTGCTCGTTATTGAGCTTCAGAAGGTGGGGGGAAAAAAGGGAACAAGGTATTTTCCTTCTATTTTATTTTCGAAATCATGCGCAGTCTTGCATTACCATTTTGGATTTTATCAATTGGTCTCGGTTGCTTGGAAGTGTCCTTCAGCTGCCTCGGTGAAGCGTTGGCTGTGCTGATGTGCATGATAACCGCTCACACATCACCAAAAAAAGCTCTGCATCCCTTCATATTCCGTCATCAGGAACAAATATGGGAACCCATTCACAGTCATGGGCAGGTGTCATTTAGAGATTCTGAAATAAATAAATTTAGGCTTTCATTAAATAATGACAGGCCTTTCCAAAAAGGCTTAAGAAACGTGTGTTGAGCAAGATATCTGCAGGTCACATCAGAATGAGAGCAGGTGCAGGACAGGGGGAGGGGGGGGGGCAGCCCCCGATTAGTTTGTTTTATTCTGCATCCTGAAAAATGACAAAAGGGCGGGTATTCTGTCATTTTGATGTACAATAATGACTGTTTGGAAGAACAAAACATGTCGATCATGACACTGAAATATTGAAATATCGTGGGAAAACTGAAATATTTTTTTTTATTTCAATTTTTTATTTTTTACCCCAACTTGAAATCCAGGTTGAGATGCATCTACCCTTTTTAAATTGTGACACTGAGCCTTGAGATTTTCTTTTTTTTTTTTTTTTTTTAAATCACATTGGCCATTACTGTGTATTTAAAAGCTAAAGGCATGTGTCTCCGGGTGTCTTTTATTATTTTTTTTATCACCTTGTCTCCCACACGAGCAGTGATTTATCCCATACTGGGCGGATCAGTGACCAAAACAAAAACAGCGTGCTGACGCCCCCTCGTGGCCAAAGGCCGTCCGTCCTGGCCTCATCTGCACTGACCGCTGATGTGGCCACGGACAATTTGTTAGTCATTTCTTTTTAAGTGCTGTGAAGAAGCTCGGTGGTGCCTCTCTACTCTTTCAAAACAGCTTTCGTTTTTCTTTTGCTCGTTATTTTTTTTTGCATGATCAGATTTCTAGCAAAATTCTGCAAAAACGCCATCTTGGATCAAATGTATAATAAGATTAATACAATAATTTACAAATTAGACGAAAACAACTTCTCATTTAGAGTTCAATTAGATTTTCTCTGTGAAAAACAAAGCACATTGGCAACTCAAATTTGCTCAAGATTATAATTAGATGTAATGCGGAGATAAATCTACTTTGATTGAGCAGATGATGCTGTTCTTGACTTACTTTCCTGCATTTCACTGGGGGAATACAATACTATCGACTCCATTACATTTGGGTGCCCATTTTTGTTTGTCACTTATAAGTTTAAAATACAACACATTCCATCCTGATCCTGGCTTCTGAAATTTTGCAAAAAGATGGATAGGGTCACAGTTAAACTAACATAGTGATTTCATTTTTGTCCCCCTAAAATCTGTCATTCGATAAATAAGTAAATGATCAAATACCAAGAAAAATATGATGGTAATAATCAAAGATTAGATGGAAAGTTGAGAAACGGATCATTTATCCGGACACTATACTGTGATGGTATTTACAACCTAATTGTATCTGATTTTATCATATAACCAAATGTAATTTTTAAGTGTCACTGACTTTTAATCCTGGACTTCGTTGCCAAAATAAGGACTTTATTGCAGTAGATGAATTTTGTGTTTTCCCACCTCTAAGCTTTGTATTTATTCTCAGTCTTTAAATATCCAGAGAACATCAGCCAGTGTGGTTTGAGTTAAAACCATCAGTGGGACGCTGTCACTGCCATTTGGAATGTAGGTTAAAGCGTACAGTTCCAGTTTAGTGAAAAGAGTATCAGTCGCACAGAGAAAAAAAAGAGAGTTAGTGATATTTCCGGGGTTTTGTGTGTGTGCGTGTGTGTGTGCCTGCATCTATTTACCCAGTTCTCTGGAGGACCCTGCTGGCTGGATTCTGTCCTATCAGTGGACGACCATCTGCCCTCCTCCTGGCCCACACGCTCCTACAGGCATCCTCTACATTATTCATATTTTCACACACACACACACACACTCTACAAAGCACACAAGGCCTCGCCTCACACATTGTGCATACAGTCACGTTTTAGACGGCTTCACACACACACACACAGCTGCCACCTCTGACACCGTTCGCCATCTCACCAGAGATGATTCATGCTCCACTATCATTGTCAGTCCACAATGTTCTCCTCTGTCTGTGTGAGAAGGATCTCCCTGGGATTTTACACAATGGAGGCAGAAAATCCGACGAGCTAAAAGCTATCAAATATCATTCATCTCTCCGCAGCCGTTTGTCTCTTCCCCTTTTCATGCCCTTTCCTCACCCAGGCCCTCGCTCATTTTCCCTTTGGAGCTCCCTCAACTTGCTTTTTTCTCCCCCTCTGGCCTTTTTCTGAATTTCTCCAGAGCTCCAGCATGAGCACAAAGAAAAGGGCACAGAGCTAATCCTTCAGAATTGTTGGACGGGCTTAGTATTGTCATATGGCAGCAAGCACAAAGGGGAAGGGATTATGGGACAGGCATATGCCAGAAAGCAGAAACCTTTAAATGTTCACGGTGAAAGTTTCCCATTCCAAACATTCAAGTTTTTTTTTCAACTCAGGTAAATCACTGAAAAAGCACAGAATGACTTAAACAAACCAAAGAAAAAATATCACAGCTATATTTAATTAAATATTATATTGCATCCATTGTCATACAGCCTGTTATCTCTAGTTATGATACATTCATAAGAATTTATTTGAATCTTTATATAGCTTTTTGTCTTAGGTCATGTTGACATATTAGTTGCTTTTTTCTTCTTCTTTTTTTTTAAATCCAGCTCTCTTATTTACACTATGATGAGATTCCACAAGTGTTTCAGCACACACGATTTAAAGAGACAATGTAATATGGCTTCTTTAGTCTATAAGCTGAAATTGTGAGGGGTAAGCACCACCCATGGGGGGGGGAGGGGGCCACAGCCTGGCCCCTGACCTTTAAATGCTGAGGAAGGCTTGATGGAGCTGGCCACAGACACGGAACCCAGAGGACTCGTGTTATTTCGACCTGTCATTAGTGAACTTACTAACGGGGGTGAGGGGACACCGATCTTTAGCAGGGCGGCTCCCCTCAGCCTGCAGATCTGAGATCAGTTGGTCAGTGGGAAGTGCCAGTTTCCTCTGACCAAGAAGGTGACAGAGTAACATGTCAGCTTCTTTGAGGTATTTGGCCTGGGAAGAATTTAGCAGGAATGATAAGCCTTTAACAGGATGAAATGAAGTTGGACATTTTCCAAGGGACTTCTGGAAAGGGGGATGGATGGGTAATGAGAGGCAGCGTGAAAATATGATGCTAATTCAGCATAATGTATGAGCAGGAGTCACACAGCATTGCACTAATACAAGATCAGTTAGTGGGTTTGACAATATTCAGCCATCGAACAGAGGGTTGTAAACATAAGAAAAAAGTGCACAACAATAAACAGTAAATATTTCATCCACCATTAAAACAATTGGATTTGACACACGTGAAATAAATCCAAATAGATCAATCTCACAGTAAAAAATAAAGTTAAATGTTGGCACAAATATAACGTAAACAGTAATTGATGTCTTATCATTGATGAAAGAAGGCGGCGGCATGCAGGCAAGGGGTTGTAAGACACTAAATAATATTTCAAAAACATCAGTGTAAACCCTCAGTTTTTCAGTTCAGCTTGTACCATTTTACTGAAACTAAGCTACAACATCTCGATGACACACACGCACACACACAAACATAACCCTCTCTTGGTGTTATTAAAACTTCAGCTCATCATTTTGGTATCAAATTAGATCAAAATCATCAATCCTAAACCTCTTTAAAAAAACAGGTCATAAACAAAACTCCATAACTGAAGTTGTGTTTTTGTGTTATTGCTAAATATTCAGCATTCTTACAAAGAGAGAAAATACAGGACATGACAGCATCCACCAGGGAAGGTGCTTCCTTGAAAGATATTAGACTAAATCAGTCCAGTTTTAATTTAAGAATTGAGTCAAAGTTCCTGATATCTTAAAGAATAAGTTTCTTATACATATCCTGTGTCCACTAAAGGTTATCAGGGGGATATTTAGGACTAGAACACAACTTCCACTGCTCTCTGGTGGACAAAAGGTGCAACGGAAACACGGCCCTCAACATGTTGGCATTTTGGCTTCACACTGTCTGCTAATTCACACACACCTTCAACATGATCTGAGACCAGCATTGTTGTCATGAAAAGGGATTTTTTAAAATGTCTACATATGCGTAATCTAATATATTAACCATATTATAATGTTTTCCTGTCCTAATGTTGATTTTTTTTTTAAAATGATATACAGCACCGGCTTTAGACAAAGGGAAAAAAGGATGGATCCTCTGATCAAAAATCTCCCACAAGGGATCTTATTTCTTCACGTTTTGATCTTTGGTGCAATAAAATCACAGGGCCATTAGTGTAAATTATTTTTACCATTTTGTTTCTTCTTCCATTTGAATTACATTAAAGGGAACTAAATAACTGAATAAACAGTGGAAAAAACATTATTTGCATAAGTATTATCGGCTGACGTCAAATATGATATAAATGTGATATCCCTGAAATAAAGAGGGGCTTGCTGGGGCCCTGAATGTCACGCCCAAAAAAAAAAAAAAAGAAGAAGAAGAACAAACCCAAACAGGAGCTCTTTGTTGTACATATTCATATGTTCTCTGTCTATGTTTCCAGAACTTGATCCTGTGGGTTTTATTTTGGGTCTGTACGTTTCCATTTTTCCCATTAACCTGCTTTCTGTTAAGACTGGACTGGTACAAAGCTGCTGTCACGGCTGTATTTTTCTCAACCAAAAATCCCCGTAAACAACAGCGAGCAGCGGTTTAGAGTTTGGAGCTCAAACGTGTGCGTTTGTGTGTCGGTGAAGAGAGAGGTCTAACCGAAGCCTCCCAAATGTGCCGGCGTTCATGCACGAGGAGGAGAGCAGCACACGCACGCTGCCCGTCACACACAACCCCCAAAAGGCCGCACAGCCTTCAGCAGGACAACACAAACCACACAAACCAATGGAGTGGACCAGTGTCTGCTCTCTTATTGCCCGGGCAAACTGCAAATAAAGATTTGGCCAGAGGCACTGACAACAAAACAAAAAACAGCTAAATGTGCATCACAATGAAGCTAGAGAATGTAGATGATTCATCTACACGAAGCATTTAGGGAGAATTTAGGGGGCATGTACCAGCCATGCTCTCTCATTCACTATACATGAATTTTTATAAATGATTGTTTGACTTGCTCTCGATGTTTAAATGCAGTTGAAACGTCTTTTTCTCTCCTGTGGTGTTTATGTCGATTCTAAAGGGACTACTTCTTTTTTTTTTTTTTTGGCTAAATGATAGCAGACTAGCTAGAGTGTTCTGAACTTTCACAGCACGACTGGAATGAGGGCAGCAGGCATTACTGGAAGGTTCTCCTCGTGTAAACAGGCGCCCTGGAGAACTGGGGGCTCTACTCGCTGCTCCTCCACCAGCAGAGTGGCCATTTGTGGAGACAAGTCTGTGTCCGGCACCAAAAAAAACACACACGTTATTTACACCAAATGATAGAGGAAGATCTTCTCCATGTTCGGGCCATCTGCATCATCTATACTGACGGTTCAATCAAATATTCTACGTGTTAAATCTGATGACTCAATCAGGTTGTTGTTTTTTAACATTTACACTGGATTCCCGTCCTGTAGAGCTCCAGGAATGCTGCATCCTTTCAGCACAGGGTGTTAGCAGATTAAAACACACACACGAGGCTGGGTGATACAAATTGCTACAAGGGACCACAGTGGGGCACGCACGCATGTAGTTGCCATGGTTACAGTGATAGGACAGGTAAAAGGTTGTGACTGCATCTGATGCCAACTCGCTGGAGGAGTGTGTCAGCAGCAGCGTCATTTACTCCTTTCTGCTTTTCAACAGCCTGCTAAGGTTTTACTAGTTTTTTTTCTCTTTTCCAATCCAAGTTTACGCTGTCATTCCATTTCTCTCCATCTGCCCATTGCCCCCTCTTTTTGGGCTACAGTGTGCTTCACTTATTTCCTTCCACTCCAGTCTTTCCTCCGCTACAGTTTGCCCGTTAACCCCTTAAAATCCTCCGGGTCTCCACCCACACAGCGGCACCAAAAAAAAAAAAAAAAGATTCATATATAGTCCCCGTCTCGTTTCTCCGTTCACAGAGGTAGGGGCCACAGGCAGGAGGAAGCACCCACCCGTGATGTGCGTGGGTCTGTCTGTGTGTGGGGGGGGGGTGTGTGTACTCTAAGGGTGTGTTTTCGTCAACACTTGAGCTGGTCGATTTCAGAGCACTCGGTGTCCATGTCAGAGTCATACAGCGAGTGGCCCGTGGGGTCACTGACGGGCGAGGGCGGGTCTAGTGGCAGGTCTGGAGGCGGGTCTGGGGGCGTGTGAGTGTGAGGGGGCGAGGTGTGCGAGGTGTGCGAGTGTGTAAGGTCCTGCGACGTGTCCGTGCGAGAGTAGAGGCCCAGATCCAGGAGTTTGGAGGCAGAGTCGCTCTCCTCCGTGGTGTCGTCGTAACGGAAGTCCTCCAGGTCAACAAACCACTCGGGCCAGAATCGCCGGCGGATGCGCTCACAGTACATGGCCAGGTTGATCAGGTCACCTGTGGGGGGGGGGGGGCGGAATGGAGGCATGGAACTAAAGCCATTTGCTGGTCTACACAGTACATGCAGGCAAAAAGAAAGCTAGCTTTCTTTTGTGAAATGCTGTTCGCCTTTCGGGTTAACCAACCTTTGATCAGCTGCTCCGGCCGCGATCCAGGCAGCATCCACATGGCCGGGGCCAGGTGACCGAACACTGCCGCGTCCACTGTTGAAAGCTTAGCGCCCATCAGGTACTTCTTGTCACCTTACAGGACACAGAAAAAAAGGCAGATTCCAACACAAACGTAGAGGCAAAGTGCAGCCAAGCCCATCTGCTTTATCAGCCAACCGTTTGTGCAGAAAAACAACAGCTGAGCGGACTACGAGGCTAAAGGTGACCACAGGAGGTCAGTGTTTAGCCATCTCTCCAGTTTTTTCTGTCTCTTGACTAGCGCAAGAATGATGTTTACTTCCTGTTCTCAAGGCACACATTGATTCACCTTTAGGACCTTTAAACACTGAACATGCAGGACACAGAATCTACAAATGTTTTTTTAAAGAACATAACTTCATCATTTAAATACTTTTGAGAAAAAATATATATTTTTAAATCAAATATCCTTTGATGCTTTTGTATCATTTCAAAAAGGTGAAATTGATTTCCCCCTGAGTTTAATTGTCTCTCTTAATAGAAACTTCTGAAAGTTTTTGGAAATCATTCACTATTGTTTGTGCTGAAACTAAAAAAGTTGTCACACAGAAACAGAAATAACAGGATGGCAGCACTGGTTGATCTGACAATCGTTTATAAAGATGGACATTAGCAAACGTGTATGGAAGTATGCCCGTACCATCACGGGCGGATGTTAGGGTCCATCACTATTCTTAAACACCTTTACCTAGCAGTGTGGCCAGTGTGCGCATGTCCCTCTCCATCAAGGCGTAAACCTCTTCTGTGGAGAACCGTCCGATCCCGTGGCCGTACATCTCCCTCTTAACGATCCCGCCGGTCAGGTGACTCAGGATCCACTTCAGCAGGTCGCTCAGCGGTCCGCTCACTGACAGCATCTTCTGCGTCTCCTCCAGGTTGTCCACCCACTGACAGTATGCTATTGTCCTGACACACCAATTCACGGGCATTTGAACACGTTTGTACACATTTGTATGGACACTTCTAAAGCAGAGCCTGTGCAGTTATTTCTGATTTTACCAAAAAGACGATGTCACAGTAGAAGAATGATGATGGACAGTTTTTATTTTTTCTGCTAAAAATGTATGAAAAGATTCCACCATTAGGGCATATGTTTTTCAAATCCTGTTTTTCAAAGCCACGACAGTGCGAACACAAACTCACCAGTAGAAGTGTTCCTCCACCATTTTGGTAACGGCACGAGAGACAGCTCTCTCCTGTGGGGTCAGGCTCTTGTTTAGGCTCACGCCCAGCCTCTCCTCCAAGAACTCGATGATGAATTCGGTTCCAAACACCTGCTCCTGGTTGTACTCGATCCACGGCATCTTTCCTTGCGGCGAAAGCCTCCCATCAAAGTAGTTCTGCAGGACCAGAGACACGAGCCAGAGAGAGGGACAGAACAGGATTAGATCAGTTTAACAAAACATCAGCACATCGAAATTGAATTTTAATCCTGAATCTAAATGGATATGTAGTGCCTTTTTCTCATGAGAATAAACCTTCTCCAAAGCTTAGTTTATGCTAAAGGCAGCTTCCAATGAACGTCAGCATGAATGAGTTATTGCAGATAAATGCAACACGTCATACCTGGTAGGGCAGGTCCACCATACGGAGGTAGGTCTCCAGCTTAAGGCAGAAAGGGGACAGGGAAGGGACACCAGATCTGGGTCTGGAGAACTGGTGGAGTATGATGGCATCCTTAGAGTCCAGCTCTTCCTCCTTCCTGTGAAGAGCCAATATGGACCGATCAGCATAAGAGACAGTGGCTGAATTTGGCTTTGAAGCAGAAACCGCTCACATCTGTGCACGAGCAAGAGTCAGTTATGGTTCTCACACCATAGTTCAGCAGATTGTAGGGTAATCTTATGGTTCAAAATTTGTTTTTTGCATCAAAAGCTGTGATTATAGGCTAGACAAACAAAGAGTAAGAATAACCTCTACTGTTCTCAACAGGATTCCAGTATAGATATACGAATGTGCTACATTCAGTTTCGATGAATTTAGGAAACACAATGAAAACATGACATGTAAAATAAACAATACATCAAATGTTTCTACTGCTGGTGTGCAAAAAGTAACAGACCTCAAGGAATCATTGATGATTGAATACTCCATTAAAGGACTGCAGCCATCTCATACCTGTGCATTAGAGGTCTTTCCGTTACAACTGGAAACAGTTAATAGATTATCCTGCTTCCATCAATGTAAAAGGGAGCAAGTATCATGTCTTAATGAAATCAAATACTGATGTAAAGGTTTGATTTATGGTTAATTTTGCACATAGATTAGATTTAGGCTGTGGTATTGCGGTTAGTAACACGCTCAGTGCTGCTGTTAGCAGAGCTCTACGGGATAGTAGTGCAGGTTAAGCAAGCTGTGGTCACGCTCACGCCGAGTCCCTGAAAGTTTTCTACAGTAAGCATGAAACTGAGTCTTGTGTGCGCGGACAGGGCTCCTCACATGATCGAATAAACCCACAGCGGCTCTGTAAGTGGCTCTGGGTCAGGGTCAGGGTCATTCGGAGAGCTTAGAAACACAGAAGCGTAATGAAGCATCCCCCTGTGAGAGATTACCCGCGGACGATTCTGGTGATATGGGCTTTTATTGGACAGGCACGTGATCACAAATGGAAACAAATCCAATTGGATGTGAGGCAGAAGAAAAGGGGAGCTGTCCGCTGAGAAAAGTGCTGAAACACAGGAAAACAAACAGTCCTCTTCGGAGAGGAGCTGTCTATGCCTGCCTGGTGCTGAAGCGCCCCTCACAGACACTCTGCCATTTGATACAAACGCCTGTGTGGGGGTAATATGAACCCCGGCACACAAGGAGACACAGAGCTATGCTGTTTTTACGTCACAGCTACACCCAAAGCTGGCGTTTGGGCTTTAACCGTGCAGGAATCGACCCCACATTTTTGGACATCGCTTCTTCTACATGTCCAACAAGCATGCAGCAGCAAAGAGCCCCCCCTAATACTCAGCCCCCCTCTAAACTGTGTTACATGATGGGCCAAAAGGACGCACTGTCAGTTTAACCTCTACCTCTACAGCCAGAGAATGGTCAGGTTAGGGTCCACATAAGGGCTGACAGAAGCTTCATCACAGACTAAAGCTTAAATGATTCGACCTGTCCTTGAGATGCAGTCAGAACTGAGTGACCTACACTGACTGTTGTGTTTATTCTACAGTAGATGCAGTGGGGCTGCCTGAGAGCCCGCAGGCTGCCACAGCAAGTAGAAAAACAAGACGGGGAGTGAGCCATCGCCTTGGTTTTGCAATCGTAATTGAACAAGCAAGGACACAGCCCAGTGGAGACCGCGTCCCCTTGGAACCCCTCACTGGTGTCAACAACCCCCAAAATCTAGCAGAGAAGGCGGATATCTCCTAATAATGTGTGTTTTTGAGGATGGAGTCGGCTGGGGGGGGGGGGGGGGTTGTTACATCACAGCCCCACCACTCACGATTTTCTTATTTTCCCACCGTCTCCGCTCTCCCCCCGCCCTGTCTGACCAGATTAAGTAATATCAACCCACAGCGGAAACGCAGCGGGCTTTGCAGATTTAAACACATTTAGATATTTAGCCATTTGAGA